GTAGGCGTCGAGTAGAGGTAGCCCGAGAGCGTAGTCGGCAAGGTCACGCCCAAAGGGACCGTGACGGCGTGAAGCGTGCTCCACACGTCCTTGATGAAGTCGCAGTCTACGAGGAAGTGGCGGTACGTCTCGTGTGCGGATGGGAAGAGGCACGCTTGGTCGGCCCTGTCGAGCCAGTGCAAATGTGCGCGGAACTTGACCGTGCGGAGCATCACTTGGTAGACGAAGTCGGAGTACTTCGGTAAGATGGCGTCGGGTAGCCGTAGCTCGGCTGCGGTGGCTACGGTAGCAGGCGCCTCGTAGAAGTCTTCATCGACGCCCAGGTGGCAGGTCGGTAGCTGCAAGCGCGTCCGTGGCGGGGCACGACGTCGGCGGGCGTCGTCAGGGTCAACGGCTTGGTAACCTTGTGGCGTCGAACCAGCCATGGCTGCTTGGGAGTCGGGCTTGGCACGGGGCCACACGTGAAGGCGTCGACCGTCGTAGCGAGCCAGCCGAGCCACTTGTCGTTCGGTATCATGTGTGGGCCGAGGTCGATGTCGACAGTAGTCGAGTGCCAGCAGACACCAAGTCAATCAATCCTCGCGACGAGGACGATGGATCAGACGACGACGACGACGACCTAGGTTATGTAAAATCGCAAGACGATTGTGTGATCTCACACAGCTCGTCTGGTCCGTGCCACGCTTGCAAGTGTCCTGCGCATCATGCACTCACTACTCTGCGATCTCGTATGCGACTCGATGATCTTCAAGTTGAGACCGTCAACGTTGCTACTTTATCGCTTCCAGTGGGCACTGCGTCGCACTAGCTCGGCCACTGCGACGTTACTTTACCAAACTACACTTGGCGCAACAACGGTGTGGATATTCGCCATGCCAGTGGTGGCCGAGGCCGGTTGGCTAGTTGACTCGACCAATTTGCTCGAGCTCGCTTGCTCAGCAACGCATCCACCTGGTGCACCTGGTTTCAAGTGTTCGTCTCAGCTCTTTTGAGGCATTTCCGTGAGACGAGCACACCGACAGAACGACACGCAGCAAGAGGAGTGGTGTCAGCACTCGTACATGTGTGCATGAATCCGCGGACAGCCAAGCGCAACGGCAGCCTTCATCTCCTCTTCGAATATCACCTCCAAAAAGCCAACGCGGTCCAAATGCGTTCGCCGCCAACGAAAAGGTCGGACGCGGCGTGCTCAAGGCCAAGCGGACGCGTCTCACGGAGCGCGCGGCTCGGCCACGAAGCGGCGAAGGCGACGACATGCTCAGCAATGTCCATCGTGTACAGTGAACTGAGGGAGGAGGAGATGATTGCTAGTATAACCAAGGCCATAAGCATATTTATGGCCTTGGTATAACGTTATGTCATGGTGAAGACAGCGACGACGAACCATCGACTCGAATTTCAGTTGTCGATTCGGCGAATTGGCAAGGCAGTTAGTTGTTGCGATGCGCGCGGTTTGGCTGCATGCGCACGCAACACATTTCACCAATCATTTCACCACAAAGCAAAGCTTCTCGTGTACCAAGTACTACCATTTTTGATCCTGCGTCCATCGTCGTATTCTAAGAATGACATCCATGTGGCGCTGAATCTCGGTGCACCAATCCGAGGCCGCCTATCAGATTTGCCGCCCGCGGATTGGTGCAATGCGCCACATGCGGCGCGGAATTCGCTGGCGGAAGCATGAAATCACCAAGACCATTCCGGAAATGGAGGCGGCGCCGACACAGTGCCAGTACTCGTACAAAGTGTGCTCGCACCCCCGGTCTCGAAAACGCAACGGAAGTCTGCACCAGCTCTGCGAGTTTCACCGCCAAAAAGCCAACCGGATCCAGCAAGTCTACACCAACAAGAAGCGCGCGCTAAAGGTGATCGAGCCCGTGCCGTTCGCAGCCGCTGAGACCGCCGTCCCTGTCGACGAAATCGAACTTTTAGCTGCCTTGCTACTCGAAGACAATAATGAGAACGCATGGGCGTCAACCGACGGCCCGACCATGACGGCAGACGAAACCCGCATTTTGTACGAGCTCCTCCATAGCACCACGCCTGCTTAACCCTCCATGACTTTTGTAAAACTTGAACTCTCCAACGCCCGACTTTTGTAAAACTATAATTTATACCAACTCATGCCAACTCCCACGCATTCAGGCGTAGCACTACGTATGCGAAGTCTTTGCGTTCGTTTTTGCTCATTTGATTTCAACGCGAACACGTTTGATTGATTGATTGATTGATTGATTGATTGATTGATATAACTTATATAGAAGGTGCTTCTGTCTCGACACGCGCGGACCTTGGCCTTCTTTTGACAAGGGATGGAGAGTTTTGTACGCCCTCGCAATCTCCCCGGTTGCCTTGTGCGTTGAAATCGAACGCGCCCATACATAGGTCTATGCATGGACCGTTGAAATAGTACTTGGCGGCTGGACGCACTCCGCGGTGTCACGAGGAATCTTGAAGCCACGTAGTCGTATGTAATTAGTGTCATCATTATTGATGGTCCGTCCGACGCGAGGATCGGTGGGTGGGTACGCGTGCGCTTACTTGTGCCATATCCCACTCTTGTGGTGTGAATACTTGTTGCAAGGGCCGGAACGTGCACGCAGCTGAATGTCACCGCGTATGAATAACCGCTCGGGAATTCCTGGTGTAGCCACCCCACCTATCACTTCTCCGCGTAGTTTCATTGCAGACGAGCATCGAGTGCGGCGAAATATTCGTCGACCAGACATGCCATGCCATCGCGCTCAGTGCTGAAATGGCGCGCCGCAAAGCTGAGTCCGCGCCAACCTGCCAGTACACGTACAAGGTGTGCTCGAACCTTCGGTCGACCAAGCGCAACGGCACTCTCCACCTCCTCTGCGACTACCACCGCAAGAAGGCCAACGCGATCCAGCGTGCGTACGCCAACAAGAAGCGGCAGCAGCAGCAACCACCACGTGCCCACGTCGCTGCTGTCGACGCGCCACCAGTAGTCGCAATGACAACACCGAGACCAACACCACAGACCATATCAGCGCGTGCGCCCAGCAACACCAAGCCCGCACCACCAGTGCCGGCTGAGAAGACGAAGAAGAAGAAGGAGGCCGAGCCGACGATGGCGTTTAAAAGCGTCTTGGATACCTTGGTGCCACCGTCGTTTCCGAGCGAGGAGCCACCGCCCGAGTACCCCATGTGGGAATACCTCGAGACTATTCTTTTTGAAACCTAATCATTGTCGTTCTTCAATTCGTTCTCTACCCACAGGACACTACATTTTGTCTCCTACCTTTCTCCATTCATGCGCAGCACGTGGCCCAGCAGGCGCCAGCGCTGGCGGTCTCTCGAGGACCTCAACAACCTGCGTAGCTTTGCCGCCGACGGCAAAGCCTGGCAGGAATTTACGGAGCTTGCCGTCAGGAAAACAAGATGCACCCCCGCGCCGCCGCCTGTGCAGCCACGGCCCGGCGAGCGAATGATAAAGAAGGAGATGGCTAGTCTCTACGTCTGCCAACTCTTTGCAACAACGAAGATAACGCGAAACACGTTTATATATACATATAACTTTCTCCATTTCGCGTTATCCACACTTTGTGTTGTACAATACAGAATGCAAAGCCCTCGACCACCGCCTTGTGGGGAGATTACGCCATGTGGTCCGGCTTGGTGACACCGCAGCGAAGCAGCGGCCGGCCGCAGACGCTCACTTGGTACTTGACGTCGGATGCGAACCGGTCTTGGGGATTGGTCCGGACAAAGAGCCCGGCCAGCAGCCCGAGAAGCGTAAGGATACGGAGCCAGGCAAAGTTGGCGTCGTAGACTTGGACAATTGGCTGGCGCTGCACAAAGTAGCGCGACTCCAACGAGGCGCCAAAGCAGAGACCACCGATGAGGAGCGCAGCGACCCACGCCAGCACGACGCCGCTGTACGCTTTCGCAAAGACGCGGGCCCCAAACAGCACGCGGGCAAACGACGGGAAGATACCAAACCCGATGCCAAAGCAGACGTTGAGGCCGCGGACGTAGCCTTCAAACCGTCCAAGGTCGCGGTCCTGTAGCGTCTCGGGCAGCTTGTAGAGTAAGAGTACTTGGGCGACAAGGGCAATGAGAAGCAGCAGCTTGCGCGCAAAGGGCGGCGCGATGCATACGCTGAGCGCATCGGCGAGCCCACCGCCAACGAGACGCCCGAGGATACTGTAGACGCCAAATGTGACAATGATGCGCGAAGCTGCGTCCCTCGTTTGACCAAACACGGTGAGGAGGAGGAGCGGGTACCGAGGCAGCATCGTGACGCCGTACACGACGTAGCCAAAGACGAGCAGTAGCAACGCCATGTTGTCCAGCGACACAAGCGGCGACGACCCCGACGATACCGTCGACGATGCACACTCGTCGCTTTCGGGCGGCGAGAGCGCTGTGTTGGGTGAGAACGGCGACTTTGGTGTCAATGGCGGCTCGTCGTCGGGCATGGGCGCGTCGAGTGGCGGCGTCATGGGCGGCTCTACGTACAAGCAGGCGCAGCCAAGAAGCAGGACGGCAGTGACGCCGCCGCCAACGGCCAAAAAGGCGCTCGATCGCCCGATCGAGGTGGTCGCTGGGGAGAGCGTTCTCGAGCCGGCGACCGAGCCAACGCCAAATGCAGCTGCCAAGAGCCCACCGCAGAGACCAAAGAAGCGGTCGGGGCACCGCTGGAACGCGGCAGCAAACGACGCACCGTAGCAGAAACCGAGGCCGAGACCGTGGACGACGCCATAGCCGAGCACAACCAGCG